CCAATAAATGGAAATACTGCCTGTTCTCATGGATAGGAAGAATTAATATTGTCAAAATGGCCATCCTGCCTAAAGCAATCTACAGATTCAATGCAATCCCTATCAAAATACCAACAGCATTCTTCAACGAACCAGAGAAAATAGGTCTAAAATTCCTATGGAATCACAAAAGAACCCAAATAGCCAAAGCAATCCTTAGAAGGAAGAATAAAGCTGGGGGCATTATGCTCCTTGACTTCAAGCTCTACTACAAAGCCACAGTAATCAAAACAATTTAGTACTGGCACAAGAACAGACCCATAGACCAATGGAACAGACTAAAGAGCCCAGATATAAATCCACACATACATGGTCAATTAATATATGATAAAGGAGCCATGAACATGCAATGTGGAAATGACAGCCTCTACAACTGGTGTTGGCAAAACTGTACAGGTACATGCAAGAGAATGAAACTGGATTATAGTCTAACCCCATACACAAAAGTCGACTAGACATGGATCAAACATCTGAATGTAAGTCATGAAACCATAAAACTCTTATAAGACAACATAGGCAAAAATCTCCTAAATATCAACATGACCAACTTTTTCCTGAATGCATGTCCTTGGACAAGGGAAATAAAAGCAAAAATGAACAAAGTGGGACTATATCAACTAAAAAGCTTCTGTATAGCAAAGGACACCATCAGCAGAACAAAAAGGCATCCTACAGTATGGGAGAATATATTTGTAAATGACATATCCACAAGGGGTTAACATCCAAAATATATAAAGAACTCACATGCCTCAACAATCAAAAAGCAAGTAACCCGAATAAAAAATGGGCAGAGGATATGAACCGACAGTTCTCCAAAGAAGAAATTCAGATGGCCAACAGGCACATGAAAAGATGCTCCACATTGCTAATTATCAGGGAAATGCAAATTAAAACCACAGTGAGATATCACCTCACAGCAGTTAGGATGGCCAGCATGGAAAAGACTAAGAACAACAAATGCTGGTGAGGATGTGGAGAAAGGGGAACCCTCCTGCACTGCTGGTGGGAATGTAAGCTAGTTCAACCATTGTGGAAAGCAATATGGAGGTTCCTCAAAACACTAAAAATAGAAATACCATTTGGCCCGGAATTCCACTCCTAGGAATTTACCCAAAGAATACAAGTTCTCAGATTCAAAAAGACATATTCACCCCTATGTTTATTGTAGCACTATTTACAATAGCCAAGATATGGAAGCAACCGAAGTGTCCATCAGTAGATGAATAGATAGAGAAGATGTGGTACATATACACTATGCAGCCATAAGAAAGAAACAAATCCTACCATTTGCAACAACATGGATGGAGCTAGAGGGTATTATGATCAGTGAAATAAGGCAAGCAGAGAAAGACAAGTACTAAATGATTTCCCTCATTTGCGGAGTGTAACAGCAAAGGAAAACTAAAGGAACAAAACAGCAGGAGACTCACAGACTCCAAGAAGGGACTAGTGATTACCAAAGGGGAGGGGTGGGGAGGGCAGTTGAGGAGGGAGGGAAAAGGGAATTGAGGGGTATTATGATTAGCACACATGGTGTGGGGGATCATGGGGAAGACAGTGTAGCACAGAGAAGACAAATAGTGACTGTGGCATCTTACTACACTGATGGACAGTGACTGCGGGGTATACAGGGTCTTGGTAATATGGGTGAATGTAATAACCACATTGTTTTTCATGTGAAACCTTCATAAGAGTGTATATCAATAATACCTTAATTAAAAAATTATAAAAATAAATGAATAAATAAAAGAGTATTGCTCAAATTATGTTGGAGCCTCAGGGCTGGGGGTACAGAGAGGGATAACAAGGAAAGAACAAGAAAGTGGGAGTTAAACTGAGGAGAGGGCTCTAATTAAAGCTGTCCTAGACCCAAAGTTTTGAAAGTTTATTTTGTATACTATGCTTAATGCAAATGCAGATGTTTCATCATTTGCAGACTAAATATTATTTATTGAGTACCTTTTATGTGCCAGACGCTACAGTGGGATTCTCCCATAGGCTCTTAATCATTTTGTGTTTACAACACTCTGAAGTGTAGACACTGTAGACAGTTTTGCTTAGAGTTCAATGTTTTTCCAAATTGGGGAATAACCATTATTAATCAGATGATTGGTGGTCTACCTGCCAGAATCTACAACCCCAGAGGGTCTTTATTTTTGTGCTTCTGCATGGGTGTACCAATTTGTATTTGGGTGACACTAAAAGTCACAGCATAAAGAGCTTAACACACTGTGTTTTTTTTAAATTTAGAGCAAATTTTTTACATTCAAAAAAGTAATAAAGTGTAAGTTTGATGTGTCCTTTTTTTTCATTGCTTTTAGCTTTAATCTTTCTTTTGTGCTCCAAAGGCTAATGAACATTTTGAGAATACTGAACTTAATTGTAGTTGCATCCAGAACTGAAAGCCTACTTCTGCTTTGCTTTTACTATCTCACTTGACAGCTAGTAACGACTTAGTCTTCCAGAAGAGACATTTGGGGGTTACTTTCACAGCCCTCTGTGGATATCACCAAAATGTCCCCTTTCTCTTTCTCTTCAGGCTTACTGCTGGTGTAGACCCTCCCAGTCTCTTGCCTGCTTGACTGTAATTATCTTCCTCTTGGTCTCTTTGTCTCTACTATCTTCTTCCCATCTACTTATCATTCACAATGCCATTCCAGTTTCCATTCTTAAACAGAGGTCTGACTATTCCTTTACTTGAAATTTGCACTGGCTCCCTAGTGCCCACAAGATAAAGGCCAGGAGCCCCAATGTGACATTCAGGCTCTCACTATTTGGCCCCATCCTACTGTTAATAACATCAGCTGCTACCAGTGTTGGCCAGACACTGTTCTAGCAACACTGGACTGCTTGCCCAGTCCCACAGCTTTGACCCAATCCAGCCAATGCTGGACACTTTCCAGTGCCCATCTTCAAATACACAATTCCCATCCTCTTAGATTATGTATATCTAATTATATTTTCTCCAATCTGTTTTATAGAATAGTTCCTAAAAGACTATATTTTCTGTTTGCTCCTGTGGACTTCTACCACATTTTAAAAGGCTCAGGGCTAAGAAATAGTGAAAGACAGAAAGGGACCTAAATTTGGATGCCGTTGTATCGATGGTCCCATTACCTAAGGGAGGCAATCTCCACCCACGCTGAGGATCAGGCCAGGCTAGCCTCGTCAATGCCAGTGAGCACCATCTGCAGACAAAACTTAACTGCCCAGTGATGGGACTCACTGTATGGCCCTCTAGGTGCAGCTAGTTTCCATTGAACATAGTCAAAGATGTATCAGCTGGCTAATGTAAATATATCTATACATATTTTTTGCTTTTCTTTAGAAGCACATTTTAAATTTAATAAAAAGATAATCAGTACCTGAGTTTTTATAGACAATTCTTAATGTACTTTATTAAATTGAATAGCCTTTGTTAGCAAAAATAAACATAAATAAAAATCTAATTATTTTTACTTGGTATATAAATAAAATTATAATACTGATACTGCTAAAGATAAGTCCTATTCTATTTCACTAATGTACATTAAGGCCTTTGTCAGATCTTCCTCAATTTATCTTTGAAGTAAATTTAGAGCTTAAAAGTGAAAAAAGGAGGAAGTTCAGTTTACATTATACAATGTAAATGATTGCTTTTGGTATATTATTGCCTATCAAAAAAGAAAGCTTAGAAAAATTCAAGAAAAATATTAAATGGTTATGATAACTGCTTAAGATTGTACTTTGTGTTGTGGGATAATTTACCTCTGTTGACAAATATGTGATCTGAGTTGCAATGACAGGGCCTTAGTTGCAATGACAATGTGATATAATCACATGAGCTGAGTGGCCCAGGGCAGAACATTATCATCATTAATGATTTTTTTTTTAATAAGTTTTTAGTCTGGAAGAACTTCTGAACAATTGTAGCATGTGTTCGCAGATAAAAAACAAAAATAAAAATCCCTTTAACACCAAAGATGTAAAGTTCAAATGATCTTCTAGTCTAAAAATGTCCCAAGATGATTATTTTGTTATCCCCCTTTATTAAAGATGCAATATAGATACAGATTAGCAAATTGTCTTTCCGCAATTTGAAAGGGAACGCTTTTTAAAAATAGCAATTTATTTCTTATGTAAAGTTTAAAAGGTAGGGCCAAACTCCAATCCCATATAGGCCTGTGGGAGTTCTCAGCAGGATTCTCATCCTATGCAATCTGATAATAATAGATCACTCATTCTTATTTATTTTAAGAACTCTCCTAACAAGTTGGGGTTTACAACATCATTGTACTTAGATAAAGATATTGCAGAATGTGCAGGTCTCAGCACATTATTAAAGAAATTCATTCATGGTCATGTGAATATAGAATAGCAAGTCAAATGGATAAAGATGTCATCCAACATTTTGGATTGCAACAACTTTCTAGCTATGATATTAAAATAGAAAAACCTCTGTAGAGTGTTAACCTATCATTACACAGAGTAAACGGCATTGCATGGCAAGCTAATTAGCAGTGTAGCTTACATCTATAAAATAGAATTAGCACTACTGCTCCTTTTTTATTATTAGTTTGTGTTTCTAGGAAGGTGTGACCGTATCTGTAAGGTTCTGTTCATTTATGACCATTTACGGAGGATTTAATTATGCTCTTTCAGCTCTCTACACTGAGGAAATTCAAAGTGGCCACTTCAAAATTTAAAATGGTAAAGAAATTAGCGAGCGTATTATTTATTCCATTCTCCTTTTTTTCAGAGATAAAGAATGGAAACACGTTTAAATAAATAAGGCTAAGGTTTTCCAGAAGAGAAAATTCTAGGCAAAGAAATTAGTAGTAGTCTTCCTTTCCTTTTCTCCACATATTCTGCAAGTTTCTCTAGTTTTCTTCGGCAGTAATTAAGTGGAAAGCACATTAATACTACAAAATTCCTGAAAGTTACATCACATTAGCCTCAATAGCCAGAATATATCAACTTACATCTGAGGAAGGTGATTCAAGAACAATTCCAAATCCTAGGACGCGGTTTTCCACAGTGGAGGTGTGCTCAGCCGTATGGAGACTAGACGGCTCAGAGGCCACTGCTGTCATCTTTGTTTCTAACATGCCAGGCTTCTGCTTCACAGTCAGAGGTTCAGCAGTCTTTGAGGGCACTTTTTTCTTTTTATTTCTCTTGCGTGAGACAGCAGTTCGCTGGGAGCATATAAGGGAAATTGGGGGTTGTTGTCTGTTTTGGGTCCCAACTGTGAACAATAAACAAAAATATGGTACAGTCACTTGTATCTGACTTAGGAAAACCTATCACCCGTCTGTCTAGATGGTCCACAAACTGAGACTGAAGTGAGGCTTTGTCAAGGAAGCAGACCAAAATCAATCTCACACAGGTCACCAAAAAGAGGCTCTGGGGCACTAGAGTTCTACACGAAAACATCCATAAGAAAACTGCTCCCAGCACTGGGGAATAACCACATGGCAATGCTACTGCCAGCTTCAATGGAAGCAAAGGATTATGAGCTGTCAGAAAATATCTGAGCATGATTTTACAAGTCATATGACACTTTCATATAAATGAGAACTCCAGAACTTAAACTGAGGTGTAGATCTCCATGCTTCTGGTAAGCCAGCCTCAGGAATATTCCAACTGTCACTTGAGGTTAAACTGATCAGTTACTAGCAATCTAGAGGTGGCAAAATTGACAAAAACTATACAACGATGATCATTTGGGCAAGACTGATCAAAAGAATGAGTCTGGAATGATTTGTAAGCTTGTGGGCAAAACCTGCTTGTCCTTTTATCAGGCCAGATTACTGCTCCTCACAAACCAGTCCTGCCCCACGCACCAACTATGTCCGTAGTGCTGCACTACCGGATTCCCCCCAGGCTGCTTCTCAGTACCTTGGTTTCGTGTGGCTGAAAATTAGGAGTAATACAGTTCTGTACCAGTCAAATGAGTTAGTAAAATCCAGAAATGGTTTGAGTTCCAAAGATGAAAAGCCCTGAACAAGGACTAGGCACTTGCACTGAATACATAGAGAAACTAAGGACAGTATTAAAGGTTTCACTGGTGCACTCTGAGAAGTAATGTAAAGTTTAATATGAAAATATGGCATTATGTCTTAAGTCTTCACGTATTTTAATAAAGCTTGCTAAATATGGCCATAGGACATGCCTGCTTTTTTACAGAAATACACCTATAAATATAAGTCAAATGAAAACTAAAGATCTTTCAATGCACATAAATATGGATCATTTCCTACTGGTTTGCATATAAAGAACAGTTATACTATCATGTTGCTATCTGCATTTCCACACTGGAAGGAAATTTATATGTAGGTCTTAGAAACAAATTACTTGCACTGCATATGAGCACTGGAAAGGTTTTTAATCACCTGTGCAGTAATCAGTCTAGCTCACTGGTTCTCAGTCTAGGCTGCACTTTAGAATCACCCTGGAGCTTTAAAAACTGTCAGTGGCCCAGAATCACCCCAGACTTAACTGCACTGGAATTTCCAGGGTGGCATCAGGCATTAGTGTTTTTTTTTTTTTTAAGTCCCTCAAGTAATTTCCAATATGTAAGCTGAAGTGGAGAACTTTTCTCTGACCAATGTGAATTTTCACCCCAGGGGAGGTCTCCATCCCTACAGTGAAATGGACAATGGAAGCAATTACCATGAGTCTAGGACTCAAGCCCCTCCAAGCCATATGACTCTTAAGTTTAATGTGAAAATGTTTTTGGTTTAAAGAGCACAGAGACTATCTGGGTATTTCTTCTCCCTTTGCAAGTCTAGACATAGCCCTAGTCTCTTGCATCCAAATCTTATCACTTGATCTTATTCCCTGTCTTCTCCCTAAAGCAAAGGTGAAACTTTTGAAATATAACTTAAATCTAGTTTTATAGGCAATAAATCTTAAGTAAATCTATCCACACAACAAATTCTTAAGTTTAAGAAAATTAAAGAGGAGTAATTTATTCAGTTTATCCTTTTTGCTATCCTACAGCTTTGGATCATTTACCGCCCTAATCTGCAAAGGTTCAGAAAAGAAAACATGGTGACAAAGTGGCATTTACTTAATAGATTCTATAAAGGCTTCAGTCAGACATTTAAATGGTTGCAATTTGTAGTTTGCCATTTCAGTAGTAAGGAGCTTAGGTAACAAAATAAATCATTACAATTTCATATGCATATTTTCTTAACTGCTAACAAATTGTTCCTCTCAGAAGAGAGTCTGTACATAATGAAGTAACCTTTCTTTCTGAGCTCTTTATTTAGGAGATGCTAACTTTTGCCAGGTTAATAAGAACACAGATTATTGTGGTGGAACAGGGTGAGTTAAAAGCTTACTGGGCTGACCAAAATGCTTACTTTTTTCTCAGATAAAACCAAATTCAGTGCATAAAATTAGATATTGCCTTTCAGACAGCCTTTTGTTCACCTTACCATCATGTGCTCTTGGGTGACTGATGTGTCTAAGTATTAAGCTTTTTATATCAAAACCACATCTCTGAATATTAAAATTTTACTAGAATTCACTAAATGGCAGCTAGTATAATTTCTGAATGATGACCTTCCTGAATACCTGCCCAATGAAAGGATGGGAATGCTAGTCAGAAACGACTGTGCTATTTTTCTGCTCAAGGAGCAGTTTTCCCTAATAAGAGGAGGGGCTTAATCAAACAATTTGTTATTTTCTGTACCTGTGACAAAAAAAAGTTCCTTTTTTTTCCCCTTGCTAATTGTGGAGATGAGATAATACGGTCACTCTAATGAAGACCCGGACTTCCAGACCTGTATGAAATGCCCCAGGGTCTTTATAACAACACGAATGATGTAGCTTACTCACATATCATGCTCTACAGAGTTCATTTATGTTACTATTTCTTCCTATCTTGAAGACAACCCTGTGAGTTAGATATTAATACTGTAGTCACAGATGACAAGTCTAAGGCTGAGAGGTGTCACCAGCTCTAAGAGGAGAAATGGGGACTCTGACCCTGAACTGCAAACTCATTGGGCTTCTGTTCTTCAACTTGTGTAAAAGGAGTGAGAACAAAAAAGGTGTCATGTAAATAAAACAAAACAGGAGGTGTCTAAGCTCCTGCATCCTGACTGACTACGGGCCATTTCTTGTCTGCCCTCTCTTGAATATTTTCACCAGCGGGGCCTGTAGTTCCTAAGGGCTCCTCCATATACACAAAGATGCACGGCTTCCTTATTGTCACTCCGAGCCACAAAAGAGACAGGAGTTGGGGTCGTTGAGCTACACAGAGCCCCCAGATCGAGCACCTCAGGAAGTAAGATGAGTCCTCCTCATTTTCCTTCCTGATGTGAACCTCTATGTCCATTCACATTAGGAAAATGAGCTGAAGGATTCTGACCACCTTCAAGTATAATTGTTTTAAAACTTAATTCACTGACATTTGAGGAGTACTAGGAGACTGGGGGTGAAGTATAGGGAGCACATGTGCATAAATATGTGAATAGTATTAGCAATAAAAAAGCATTGGATTAACTAATGGAAAAACGTATTATAGAAAAAGCTGAGAAAATGGATACTTCACAGCAAGACAGGAAAAGCTAAATAATAAAAGCTCAATAAGCACCCCAACTGACAATGTCAGATATATATGAAAAATCAGAGGACTCAGTCCAAGGCCTGATCTTGGTACCTGCTTGAATTTGCATTAGTTTCCGCATGGTCTTTAGTTCTTGGAGAATGGCCTGCAATGTTGACTGGCAGTTACAAGTACAGCAGTTGGATCCAACTGACGAATTCACAACTGGAATTTCTCCTAAGCATGAAAGAAAAGAATGACATACTACGAACAACAAAATTATAAAGAGGGGAAAATAAACAAGGTATCTTGACAGCACTTTGAAGCATGTGTAGTTATTATTAAGCTGTGCCTGAAGAAAATGTAACCATTAATTTTCACAATTTAAATTTTGGGGTCTGACTTTATCTAATCATCCAGACTTTTATACTGTGAGGTACACAGGGTGGTGGGGCCTGCAGGAGTCTGCACACACAATGCATGTTTGCAGCAGGCCTGCCTGCTGCACACTGGTTCATCTCAGATAGCAAAACCATAAAAATTCACTAGAAACACACTCATACTATTTTGCACAAAAAAACTGGTGGTTGCCTATAAGATTTCATAGTAAGCATTAACTGTGTCAAAGTATTAAAAAATAACTTTAATGTTAAGCATGTTATTTCAAAAATAAGAGCTGCCAACACTGTGGTGTTTTTGGGGTGGAGAAAACAAAGGGGAAGTCAGGCACGGGAGGATGTCTTTCAGCTTGGCGGGTTCGAGGGTGTGGGTGTGCTGGCCCTTCTCCAACTTAATAAAGGAGCTTTTTTTTCCATTCCCAATTTTACATTATCCCTCACTTCAGTCTCTTTCTCTGTTTGAATTTACTATCTTTTCCTTAATGAAACTGTCCTCTTCTGTTTCCCTTGTAAGTAAACAGGTATCTTCCTATTGTCCTTGGAATCTAATGGAACATTTGGAAAATCGCTCTTTTGGTGGCATTCCCACTGGCATTGGTATCCCACTCTACCACCACAGAGCGGATCATGGAAGACACTATTACCAGGAATGATTTCCATAGATGGATGAGGTTAAGTTCTAAGGCGGTGGTCTATTTATATGCTTTATTATATGTTAAGTGCAATTTAAATCCTACAATATGCGTTCTTGTGAATACTCTAGAAAAATCCACCACAGCAAAACCATGAAGTACTTAAAAGATAACCGAATGTTTGGAGTAGCATAATTATTTACATTCAAAGTTGCAGCAAACTGAAATATTACAACCTCAAAATTGCAAATAATTCAATGAAATACCAAAATAGGCACAGTTATATATAATGAAATGAATTTCTATTGAAACTATGAAAACAAACACAAAAAGATCTATTTTCAAATGAAAACGGGGGAATTTATGTTTGTATTCTTGTCACGCAGTGGAAAACAGAACACTGTTTACCCAAAACTTACTGATGTGGGGTTCACTAACTTCACATACTCTAAGGGTATCCTATTTCTCTGATCACTTTTTCTGTGACAATAGATTGAGAAGGGCATTATAGAATATTCCTAGTCATCATTCTAAGTACTATCTCTATGATTTTTAGAGGACAAAACCAACCTTTTTCAGGTTGTTATAAATCATTTTCTAATTTTAAAGAGAACTGACTTTTTCCTTCTATGGTGGAGTCTTTAAAGAGCCGTCTACCTCTAGCCTGGAAGCATGCCAGTATGTGAATCTGATAGTGGCTTATGTAATATTGAGAGAAAGAGAAGACACCCATACACCTCCTGCTATCTCATCAGCAATGTCTAAGGTTAGCTTTCATGCCTCTGAACTGGTTACTGCAAATTGTGTTTTAAAAAATAAATCAAAACAGTTCTGGGAAAAGATTCCTTAACTTTAAAGGAAAAGAAAATGCATTCTTACTTTTTTCTTGTTCTCTTTTTTGAAAATTATAGATCTATACACCTATGCATAATTTATAGGACAAGTAATACCCAATGTCACTAGGTGGGAAACCATCAATTTTTTCCTTAAGCTTTGAAAAAAATTGCCATTTGATTTTTTTCTGAACAATTAGGAATTTAAGGAAATTTTACTTTAAGTAATAATTTCAACCCTAATGAAGCAAGTTATAAAGTATGATCATTTGATCCAGTAGCTGGATTGTGAGTTTAAACAGGGTCTCACTGGGATATGGGGTTATCAGCCCTCCATCTAGCCCTCTTCCAACAATTGGCAAAAGTTTCGGAGTCAGCAAGAAGCTGTATTAGTAATACGAAATATGACCAGAAAGCTTCTTTTAATGACAAAGGGGAGATCTCTCTGTCTTAATGGCCAATCTTTTGTGACAAAAATGTCTTTACAAAGGCAAATGATAGATATAAATTCTTACAGGGCTTAAGAAATCATCACTGCAAATATAGAACTCCCCCTCCCCTGGCTTTCCTGCTTCTCAATTATGCTTTTTCCCCCTCTGTGTCCTCCCTGTCTTTTAAAATAACTCAGCTAAGGCAGGTGTAAGGGTGGATTTACTGTATTGAGCTCAAAGAGCATACTGAATATTTAGAAATAGAACACATTCAGACAACCCCTCCAGGAGAGATGATGAATGTCTGATAACGTCCATACCGTTAGCACTCCCAGCAGTGTGGGGCTGACTCTGGAAGGTTCTAGAGCGGGTGCCATACTGCCCTGAGAACTGTCCGCTTTGGGGTGGAAGCTCGTTCCATGCACCACATGAAGAAGGGTGGAGGCTCTGTGAGGCCTCAGCAGAGGAGTTCAAATGCTGAGGCCAGACTGAATCCAAATCCTGGGGTTCTTCTTTTAATTTTTCTCCTTCCTTGCCAACACGCTGATATATCCTTCCAGTGCTGTCATTCAGTAATCTTCTCATTCCTGTAATTTGTTTTTTGATTTCCATGCTTTCATCTCCTAGTAGAAATAGACCCAAAAACATCACTGTAAATGTGCAAAAGGAAAAATAATCACAACCAAAAAAAACACCCCTTCTTTCAAAATGGCAAAGGTTACTGATTCCAGATGCAACCTCTAGAGACTTAAGCAATCCATACAAATAAAACCCGCTATGGCCTGAAGAAACAGATCATATTCCTGGTACATCTCATTTTAATCTCTTTCTGGACAATTCTCTTATGATAAAAGAGGTTCCGTGTGTGGGTTTCACCTGGAAAACACTTTAGATTCCCTCTTTGAGAATGTTTTCTCAGTGAGGGTGTTGTAAGAAAACAGGCTGAGGCTGTAAGACCAAGGATGAGACAAGACCCAAATTTCCTGCTTCAATCTGCAAATGCCAGTCACTTGTGATGGAAATCAAGGCCCCAAGGCAGCTCACCAACCTGGCAATCAGGCGCAAGTACCAGGAAGAATATGTGACATTGACTGGGACATGGAGTTTTCTGAGGATGGGCTGTTGGGAGGGCAGCTAATTATTATTTTTTATTAAGGTATCATTGATATACACTCTTATGAAGGTTTCACATGAAAAAAACAATGTGGTTACTACATTCACCCTTATCATGTCTCCCTCATACCGCATTACAGTCACTGTTCATCAGTGTAGCAAGCTGCCACAGAATCCCTATTTGTCTTCTCTGAGCTATACTGTCTTCCCCGTGAAACCACACACACCATGTGCACCAATCATGATACCCCACAATCCCCTTCTCCCTCCCTCCCCACCTGCCCTACCCCACCCCTCCCCTTTGGTAATTGCTAGTCCATTCTTGCAGTCTGTGAGTCTGCTGCTGTTTTGTTCCTTTTGTTTTGCTTTGTGTTACACTCCACAGATGACGGAAACCATTTGGTATTTGTCTTTCTCTGCCTGACTTATTTCACTGAGAATAATACTCTCTAGCTCCATCCATGTTGTTGCAAATGGTAGGATTTGTTTATTTATTATGGCTAAATAGTATTCCATTGTATATATGTACCACATTTTCTTTCTTCATTCATCTACTGATGGACACTTGGGTTGCTTCCATTTCTTGGCTATTGTAAATAGTGCTGCGATAAACATAGGGGTGCATATGTCTTTTTGAATCTGAGAAGTTGTTTTCTTTGGGCAAATTCCTAGGAGTGGAATTCCTGGGTCAAACGGTATTTCTATTTTGAGATTTTTGAGGAACCTCCATACTGCTTTCCACAATGGTTGAACTAGTTTACATTCCCACCAGCAGTGTAGGAGGGTTCCTCTTTCTCCACATCCTTGCCAGCATTTGTTGTTCCTAGTTTTTTCTATGTTGACCATCCTAACTGGTGTGAGGTGATATCTCATTGTGGTTTTAATTTGCATTTCCCTGATAATTAGCGATGTGGAGCATCTTTTCATGTGCCTGTTAGCCACCCAAATTTCTTCTTTGGAGAAGTGTCTGTTCATATCCTCTGTCCATTTTTTT